CAAAAGGACGAGGCCCAGCTGGGGCCGCCTTGAAAGGAGGAAAAGACAGGCGATTCACTGTTAGAAAAAGTTACTCCATGACACTTGTTACAGCACAGCAAGGAAGACTTTATTCATGACCATGGAGGGAGGTACAGGGACCACAGCCATGGAGTCTGGCAGTGGGGGAGAGAGAGATGGGGCTCCACTCGGAACACAGGAGGGGCAAGTGGGAATTTACAGCCAAGGGGCAGGGTAGGGGCCGGTGAATGGAAAATCTGAAGAAGCAACACAAGGGGCAAGGGGTCTCACTAAACCGGCCCAACGGGATTCCCGTGAGGACAGGCCAGGGTTATCAGACATCACCTGGGGAAGCTGGGAAGTGAAGCCTCTGATGAGATATGGAGGCTGATCGGAGGTCGTGGGTGGGGATTCTAGGTAAACTAAGCTGGAATCTTTCTATAATTGGAATTTGTTCCATTCGCAGCCACAAAGGAGAAAAATCATAGACTTTTCAGCAGACTGGATAGAATTGGAGGCAGTCATTCTTAGCCTTCACAGAAACAATGAGCCGAACACCACATGCTCTCACGCCTCAGTGTGACCTGAACGTTAATCACCATAGCACCAGGGAGGGATCGGCAGTTGTGGGACACCGTCAAGAGAGGAAGAAAGGGGAGGACACCTAACAATGCAAAGGGTACCTGATTCTAAACCAGGGGAAGTAGGGACCAGTTGAAAGCCCAAACTACACCTCTACATGCGTTATTTACATACCAAATCCTGACTTGAACCCCACATCTTTAAAATAAAATAAAGTATTAAATAAATGGGGCCATGGCCTAGCTAGACTCTGGTGTGGTCATGGGCTCTTTGAGCTATGACTATCGCCATGCTTCCTGGATTTGGCCCCCTCCCCCACCTTGGGGAGGTGAATTTTCTCTCTCCCTTCTCTTTCTCTCTAATTTACTTTTAAATAAACTACATTTTTTAATCTTAAAGAAATGAAAAAAATATAAAACGTGTTTATAAGATAGTGCAAAGAGGGTCTATCAGAACATTCTGAAGCCTAACTAAAGTGTGGTTGAACAAAGATTCCATGTTATTATGCAGAATGCATGTTCCAGGGACCAGACTGGGTCTCTGCATCTTCCTAACACACCAGCTTCCAGAAGAGCATTTTGCCCTGAGCCTTCTGGGTGTTTCCTCCTGTATCATTTCTAGGAGACAACTGCCCTGCTTTTTCTCTAGGATCCACTCATTGTCAGCTTTTTAAACCTAGATGGAGTGACAGTGCTTCAGTGACAACCTCAGATACTAAAAATGTGAGGGTCACTCTTCACCAATTCTAAAGACAGGCATCACACGTTATTTGAGAAGATGGTTGAGACCATGAAAGGGTGTAGGACCAAATAATCAAGCACCTCAACCCCTTATATGAGCACTTCAAAATCTACAACCAGGAAAATCTTCTCAATAGAAACCTTGGGACTTCCATTCATGCCTGACTGCACGCTGGTGGCCTGTGTCAGCTTTTCATGTGTCCTGTCATCTCCCTACTCCTAGCCTCAGTCCCTCAGCAGATGCTGTCTCGCTGTTTGGGTCTCATTGTCCTCAAATCACATTTGTAGCTGTTGATCCAAGCACTCTAAACTTCATCCTCCAAACCCTAGGATCCACTGAGGACCCAGCTTCTATTTTTCAGAACTAACCCACCGTCTGAATAAGGATTCTGATCTTCCCTCAGGATCATTGCTAAAAATGCCAGAGGAAATAACACGTAGAGTCCAGTATAAATTGCACAGTTCTCATCCAAAGACCCATAATAGCTTCTTTTTTTTTTCTTTCCTTTTTTAGTTGAAGTCTCTCACTGTCTCCCAGGCTGGAGTGCAGTGGCACACTCACAGCCACCGCAGCCTCGACCTGCTGGGTTCAGGTGATCCTTCTGCCTCAGCCTTTCAAGTAGCTGGAACTACAGACACACGCCACCGTGCCTGGCTAATTTTTTAAATTTATTGTAGAGATGAGATCTCACCAAGTTGCCCAGGCTGGTCTCAAACCTGTAGGTTCAGGCAATTCTCTCACCTTGACCTCCAAAAGTGCTGGGATTATAGATGTGAGCCACTGCACTCAGCCATAGCTTCTTTTAAATGCATTTTACATTCATGGTATCTTCTGCCCTGAGGGTGTTTTCTTACTGAAAGGGGAGGGCAGAGACACAGGTCAGATCTCAGGAAGAGATCCTCTGGCTTCTGAAGGAGTTTATGGATTATAGGTTTAGGGGAGAAGATCAGGAATGTGGCAAGATGTTTCACAGGGCCAGCTCCCTTGGGACTAGAGCACCAAGATGCTTGGACCATAATTTCAATTTAATGGAGCTGCCCTATTCTGTGTCCATTTGCTATAGAAGCCAGATTACTGAGACAATCTTAGATTTTAACTTGGAAAGGCTGGGTCTCAGAAGCAGGTAGGAAAGTTACATGAAGGTTGTTTCTAAGGAAATGTTCCAACCAAACAAAAGACAATAAGCACAGAGTTAGAGTTTCATTAATGCTTGATGACGGATTCATTTACTTACGTGATGAAAGACTTGGAGGAAGAGCCCTGGAGCGTTGATTCAGCCTGTAATCTCAGCATTTTGGGAGGCCAAAGCGAGAGGACTGCCTGAGCCCAGAGGTTCGAGACCAGCCTGGGCAACTTGGTGAGACCTTGTCTCTACAGTAAATCACAAAAACTAGCCAGGTGTGGTGGTGTGCATCTACAGTTCCACCTACTTGGAAGACTGAGGTGGAAGGAAGGATCGCCTGAGCCCAGCAGGTCAAGGATGTGTTGGCTGGGAGCATGCCACTGCACTCCAGCCTGGGCAACAAGAGTGAGACTCCAACTCAAAATAAATAAATAAAGAGACTTGGAGGAAAGAGTATCTCTGAATGGAGGAGAAGGGAAAGGATGCCTTACACAATGCCAGGAGGTCTCTGGAGACGCCTCCATTCCCTCCTAGGGTTTGGTGTTGACCACCTCGTCACCTGTTTTGGGGGTGCCCTTCCCAACCCCTAAACTCCAGCTCACCTCATTCCTAAAAGGGAGAAGGCTTCTGTCATAGGTTCTACATTCTCACATCTGACTTGACCTTAACTGTTAACGGGAGCAACTAGGCTAGAGTATATTGGTGTGGGAACCATGGCCGGACCCAAAGTTTTACTGAAAAATTACTGGCATGAGGCAAGATTGATTAATAGGAGAAGAAACACGTGCATTGTATTTAACGTATATGGAGGAGCCTTCAGAATAAAGATCCAACTTCCCAAAGCTTTACAGAAACTTGCATGCTATCTGGAAGTGACAGAAAAAAATTCTTTAAGGAAAGAGAGTTGCATGCTGGCAAATCAGGCTACGGAAAGGAGAAAAGGAATTCAACTGAGGGTCAGTAAATCATCTGGAGCATGGATGGGGGAAATGGAGAATGACGTCTAAGTGCTTGTCTTCAGAAACTAAATGCCCCTGAAAGACAGGCATTCGTTTGCAAAGGGCTGGGCCGGGGCTGATTACACTCCTCCTTCCTTTCCTGTAATAGAGCGTGCGATCACAGTGAAGGGAAGGAAAGGCAGTTGCTCTTTTGAAGGGGGTCCGTGTGGTCGCTAACAAGACGGGGGTAAAGGCTCCGAACAGGCCTGTTGATTTCGAAGGTTTTTTAAACCCAGAAACTCATTATGCTGGGAAGCCATACTCCACGGTAAACTTCCTCGCACGCCTCGTCGGCTCGGGCCCCGGAGGTCTCCTCCAAGAACTCTGGGACTAAAAGGAAAGCAGGGTGAGGGGAGTCACGCGGGACTTCCTGCCGCTTGCTTCACCCGCTCA